TAGGGTTTTCAGAGGCCTGCTATTTCAGAAGTGGATGGCCAATCCTTCTTCCTAATCTGTCTCAATGTGAATGTTCAGATTAAGAGAAGTATTAGACAGACCAGTCCCTTTGCTGGCTTTGCATAGTCAACAAAATTCATGTAAACATCTTTCTGGTACTCTTTGCTTTCCTTCAAGATTCATCTGATATCAACAATATCTCTCATTTCATGGCCTTTTCTGAATTTAGTTTTAATTTCTGGGAGTTCTCTTTTGATGTTTTTTAATAATAGTCAGAATCAGAGCAGAATCCAAGTCAACTCCCAGCTTAGTGGGACACCTCCTCTGACCAAGGTTCTCCCCTCTTACTGGACACCCTCACCTAGCACACTCCATGGCCACATGTGGAGTAGTGCATAACCCTTCACAGAATGTGTCATCCTTGGACATCTTGGATCAAAAATGACTATCTTAATTCTAGCCTTCTCTGGATGAATAACCTGCCTGCACCCTTCCCCTAGACTGGCATCAAAAGATGCCTCCAAAGACGCCATCTCTAACCAGGTGGACTAGCCAACCCTCCTCTTAGGTCTGCAGAAACTCTGCCCTGGCCTAAATTCCTAAAAAACCCCAGTACACTAGTAGACAGGAAGAGAGGCTACCCTATTACTATCACTCAATACATTCCTAGACAGAAAGAGGGGCTATCCTGTGACTATCCCTCAGTACAGTCCTAGACAGGGAGAGGGGCTGCCGTACAACGTGGCTTCTAGGGGTCTCAACTACCATTCAGACAAGCAGAAATTTCTGACCTGACTGGGCACCCCCACTCTAATCTTCTGCTGGGCTGGCAGATAGAAGATCCTCGGCCAGCCAGCTTCCTCCCACTCCACACCAAAGTGTTTTGGCTATTTGTCCGCTTGTTTGTTTTAGAATTTTCCCTCATGGGTAAGGCACTTAACTTACTTGTTGGTCAGTTTTTGCCATAATGTGATTGATTATTGCGTGCAATCTGTGGCTTCTTTTTATTCTATTCTACTTATCAATCATCCACAGTGAGGGGCAAAAACATGATTTCACATAAATCCTATCCTTTGCAATCTCTTTCTTAGATCAGACTTTTAAATTTATTTCTTTTTTTGTCCTTAGATATTCAATTACAGAAAGTTATCTATGAAACAACAGACAGTAAACAAGAAAAGAATATTTATACCAATTTTGTGTCATAGAGAACTTTTTCAAGAATCTTCCCTACTCAGTGAAAACCACCTTATGTGACTCATATCTGTCTTCTTTGATGGGCAGCTGTGACAGCTATGAAGGGAGGAACTTCAGATCAAAGTGAAAAGGAGAAGGAACATCTGCAGACAGTCAGTGCTAGTTAGTGGGGACTAACTATCACTGACAGCTAGTTAACTGTGAGCAAGTCTGAGGCCTGAGGTAAATAAGGGAGGTTTTGTGATAGTAAAACTTAGACAATACTCTACATCTAAAAAGAAATGAGAGAAACCCTTCTTGGACCTGGACCTCCACATGGGACGGTGGAAGCACAGAGGACAGGCAGTTGTGGGATGAGTTTGTACACTGCGCTGCTGGTTTCTGTAGTAGACAGTGATGGTTTCTACAAGGAGGGGCTGCCAGTCCCTTACTATCCCACATCTTCTGTACTTTCCACATCTTCTTTCACTCTCAGGACATAATATTTTGACTGAAGAAAAAGAATGATTTATTTTTTTTAAAAGAGTAAGTATTGTTTTCTAATATATTTGAAAGCGTCAAATAATTGAGGGGAATAAATGTAGGAAAAACTGAGCAAAAAAGGGGGACAAAACCATTTCTTCATATAATCTGAGGTTTCTAGTGGCTCAGAAACAGCCACTACACTCACCTTCCTTGACCACCGAGATTTTGCTAAGCTGACATCTGCTGTGGTGTTTTGACTTTGCTTTTCTAATTCCATTCTGGTTCCACATGCATGTTTATTATAAATATATTTGGTGAAGAATGGGGTGCAATCAGGATAAGGTGAGTCTTAGACCCTTTAATTTAATTTCAAAAAAATCTGTGGAAAGCTATAAAGCAATTTCTAAACCAAAGCAGATTTAGTGAACCCCCAGATAACTATGTTTAATGTAACTGATATTTTCAGCGTGGGGGTTAAAATTTGATCATGCTCATATTTTTCTCCCAGGACGAATGGCTGACCTGTCAGAGAAACTGGCTCTACCTAGAAAGTATATTTAATGCTCCAGATATTCAGAGGCAGCTGCCCGCGGAGGCCAAGATGTTCCTTCAGGTGGACAAGTTATGGAAGGAAATCATGAGGAAGGTGAACCGGCTGCCCAATGCTCTTCGAGCAGCTACTCAGCCAGGTACAAAACAGTGTGTATTTACAAATGTGCACAGTGTGGAGAGTCAAAGGGGAAGGTGTGAGTGGATTACTAAAAGAATCCTAGCCAGCCTCAGGGTGTTCTCTCAGAGACTTCTGGATCTTAGCACATCAGTGACCTTTTACTGCTTTATGTTTCTTTTTTCAGTCAGCACGGAGACTAACTGGTTCCCAACCCAGCAGCTCATGGAGGAAAGGCTCTATGACCTGCTTCTGTCACGGTCATGGCCAGGGACACCACAGCAGTTCTGTTCTGTGTACACAGGGTCACCATAAGCCAGTCCACCCAACACTACAAATTCAGTACCTTAAAGAGGAAGGGAAGGAGAGGGGGTAAAATGTGCAAGAATAAATGAATGAAAATCTAACTTTTCTGTAAACTTTTGTTAAAATGACAATTAAAAGAAAAAATTTTGTTTAAAAAAATTTTTAAAAAAACAAAGTGTTAGAGACCCAGAAGTTCAAAATAGATTTCACTGGGCTAAAATCAAGGTGTCAGCAGGGTTGGGTTTCCTCTGAAAGTTCTGGTGGAGAGCTGGCTCCCTAGCCTTCCTGCCTTCTAGAAGCTGCGATCACTCCTTGGCACTGAGTACACTTCAGGCTCAGCCTTCGTTTCACTCCCACCTCTGCCTCTGTCAATGTGTCTCCTCTGGCTCTGACCCTTTTACCTCTCTCTATTACCCTTGTAATAGCACTGGAGATGCCTCATAATCTGAAATAATCTAAACTCCAAGATTCTTAGTCTCATCTGCAAAGTTAATTTCCCTGCCATATATAGAAACATATCCACATGTTTGGAAGATTGGCACATGGCATCTTTGATGGGTCCTTTGTTGTTTTCTTGAATACCTACTATGCTCACTGAATATTGTTGTTATGTGTCATCTAGTCACCTGCGACTCATAGCAACTCTATGTACAATGCCTACCCTATCCTGAGCCAGTCTCACCGACTCCAAAACACCTACCCCCATTGCCCTAGTTACTGTATCAATCCATCTTAATCAGCATCTTCCTCTCCTGGACTGTCCCTCCATCCTTCCAAGCATGATGTCCTTCTCCAAGGACCAGTCCCTCCTGGCCACATGCTCAGAGTATGTGAGACAGAGTTTCAAAATCTAGCCTCTATAGAAAAACTTGGTTTCACCCTCTCCTAGATAGACCTATTTGTTTTCTTGGCAGTCCATAACATGTTCAAGACTCTTCTCCAGCACCACAGTTTAAAGCCATCGATTCTTCGTCTGTCATTCTTAGTCACTGTTAAGCTCTCTGATGCATAGCAAGTAATTGTGAAGAAAGCAGTCTGGATCAGGAGCACCTTAGTCTCTAGACTGACATCATCGCTTCTCAGTACTCTGGGGAGGTCCCTGAGAGCAGATTTTCCCAATGCAATTCATCTTTTGATTCCTGACTGTTGGTGCCAAGATGCCAAAATACAGACATCCCCCCTCCAAGGGGATATGCTCACTTCATGTCTCTGTGCCACATTTGGTAGGAAATTGCCAAATTTTAAACTTTTCCATAATGCTATTGCAGTTAGTATATGTATTGGAGACCAAACATGGCTGTCCCTCACTGTGTTGTGACAGTCCTGTCATTGCCATGGAAACAACACAGAGTCTCCAAGGTCTGCCTGCATTTATGTCAGAGCAGACTGCCTCAGCCACTGCTCGATTTGTTATGTGTAACCTTTGTAAAATAAAAACACATCTGGTGCTGGATTTCAGACAAAACAGTAAGAAGCTGTGTGTATCGTTTCAGGTGACAATATGGCTATGAAGAAAAATAAAGCCAGGAAAGGGGACCTAGAGTGGCTGAAATGTGCTGTATGTGAGCAGCACTGGTGTGCATGTGATGGACAACGTATTGAGACAGGGACTTTGAGCAGAAAGATAAAGGAATGAGGGAGGCATGTTTGTGGATCCAGGGAAAAGGACTAGAATAATGGGACATGAGAACGTGCTTGGCATCCCCTACTACCAGCAGGGACCCAATGTAGTGGCCTGCATACGGGGACGTGTGTAGGAAACAGTGCCAGAGAGGAGTGTGTGTGAGAGCGGGCTGAGGGTGGTGTGGAAGTAGTCACGTGAGGCCTGGGAGTGAGGAACTGGATCAGATTGTTGGGAATCCAGACACGTGATAAGCCCCACAACTATTAAAGATGGTTCCTGGACTTTACTATGGGGAGCTATGTCACAATTCTGGTGTCTAAAGATGACAGAGGAAGCAGAAAAGATGTGAGGAGGGCATGACAGGGGATGGTCTGTGGCCAAAAGGGGCAGCTATTTGACTTTAGTTAGTGTGCTCTGAGCCCTCCAGAAGTCAAGGCATCAGCTGACAGTGCTTCAGATCAAATATAGTTGTTCACAGATGGTAAATAGTAAAACAGTATTAAAGTTAATTTTATTATTAAAAGTACTAGTTCATATTCTTTGTCAATTCCACAAGTTTTAATTAGAAAATTCCTTCATCAAATCAAACCAATGATTTAACAATATCATTATCGTATTTTATGCTATTTAATATTTAATTTTCTATTTTAACATAAGGATCCCTGGTAACACGGTGGTTAAAGTTCTGGCTTCAAAACTGATTCAAAACTACTACCAGCTATTCTCCAGGAGAAAGATGAGGCAGGCTGTTTGTGTAATGATTTAAAGCCTTCAAAACCCTTGGGGACAGTTCTAATCTTACCTTGAAGAATATGAGTCAGAATGAATTTAATAGCAGTTGTTTGATTTTTCACATAATTTTACCAGTATTTTTTTTCCCTCTCAATTAACAGGACTTCTGGAGACTTTTCAAAACAATAATGCATTACTTGATCAAATTCAGAAGTGTCTAGAGGCCTACTTAGAATCAAAAAGAGTCATCTTTCCTAGGTAAGTATATAAATCCTACTGGGTAGTATAAAATATTTTTAATAGTTAGGACTATAGGGTCGCTATGAGTCGCCTACGACTTGATGGTACTTAACAACATAACAACAGCATAGAGTTGGCCTAGTGGACAGAAAGTGATACTACCAAGCCAAAGGTGGGTGACTTTAATCCGCAGCCCTCAGGCTGGTTTTTAATTGTTTTTGGTGAAACATTCCTCTAGGTCATATAGCCCTGATCTGTCAATTTGCTATACAGAGGTAACTCGTGTCTGCTGTGAAGCTGAACACTGTGACACTGATGTGTCAAATGCGATAATAGTTACCCATGGTGGATAGTGTTTGGTGGAGCTCCCTGTTTAAAACAAGTTTGGAAGCAGGAGTGGCATCCATTTCCGAAATAGCTTGTCTCAAGAAATCCTGTGAACCTGGAGAAAGGATGAAAGTTATACAGGTCTTTCGTAGTCATCTACGACTTGATGGCACTTAACAATAACAATAAGGCTATACATCAATTTAAAAGAATATACTCCAAACAAACTATAATCTAAAATCATCTAGAAATCAAAGGAAACAAGAAACATATGCTCAGGGAAATTCAGCTACTGTCTTCACTGGAACTGGATGTCTCAAGGATGTACATAAAATATTTAGTAAAGATTGAGGTGCTAGGAGGATTCTTGACCGCAGCCCTGTTTAGCCATGGAGACGTGTATGCAGTGTCCACATGTGTCCATATGTCCATAGATATGAATGTAAAATGTCAGAGGGACCTGTATTCCCAGGGCAAATTTTTTTAATTGATGACCTACAGGTTCACTGCCAAGATTGTCTAAGGAGTTATTGTGGTGGTGTTGTTGTTAGGTGCTATCAAGTTGAGTTTGATACACAGTGATCCTATGAACAACAAATCTGAACTCTTTCCTGTCCTGGACCATCCTTATCACCGCTGACACATTTTAGCCCATTGCTGCAGTCACTGTGTTGATTCATCTCATCAAGGGTCTTCCTTTCTAAGCCTTCATTTTTCTAAGCTTGATATTTTTTCCTGAGGAATAGCCTCTCCTAACAGCAAATCCAAAATATATGAGATGTACTTGCACCATCTTTGCCTCCAAGGATCACTCTGGTCACAGTTTTTCCAAGACCTATATGTTTATTCTTTTGGTAGTTCATGGGATATTCAGCACTCTCCTCCGACCTCAGAACTCAAATGAATACATTCTTCTCTTGTCATGCTAATTCATTGTCCAGCTCTCAGATGCATAGCAAGTGATTGGAAAGATGATGACTTGAATCTTAGCCTTTAAACTGACATTACCGCCCTTGAAGACTTTGGAAAGAACCTGACAGCAGATTATCCCAATGCTATATATCTCCCATATAGCATTGCTGTTGTTAGATGTCATCAATTCAACCACAACTCATTGTGACACTAAGAACAGAAGATCAGAAACTTGCCCTGTCCTGGTCCACCATCACCATCTCCAACAAACTTAAACCCTTGTCACAGCAGTTACCATGTCAATCCATTCTGTTGAGGGTCTTCCTCTCTTCCTCTGACCCTCTGACCTTTCCTAGCATGATATCTTTTCCAAGGTCTAGTTCCTCCTGACAACATGCCCAAACTATATGAGATGATGCTTCAGTATCCTGGCTGCACTTCCTCCAAGATTGATTGTTCTTTTGGAAGTCCACAGGATATTCAGTACTCTTCACCAACAATGCAATTCAATGACATTCATTCTTTTTCCTTATTCTTTGTCCAACTTTCAGATCCATAGGAAACAATTGAAAATACTATGTTTAAAAAGACAAAGGGCCAGGTTGTGAGTGCCATATCTGACCTTTACCAACTTCACAGGAGGAAATGATCCCCACCCACAGAGTCAATAACTTAAAACCAATTCCCATGAGGTCAGACATGTCCCCTATGCCCCATGCCTCTCTATACTCATCTCAACACCAATCTTACTGGTGGCTGGGTCCAAAAGCTATGGTCTCGTGGCTCTAGGTGTTCCCAAATTCTCACTCAAATATCAGTTCCTCCCTCCCCAAAGTCCCATCTCACATCTAATTCTCCAGTGCAGCCCTTGCTGCTGCTGCCATCCCAAAGCATGTTCTGCATTTCACTAGATTGAGGGAGGTCTCTCTCTTCTCTGGCTAGGCAAAGAATTCCATCTTTTCTGGTCTGGGAAGAAATCCTTCTGTTGGGGGAAGAATTCCTATTCTCATCAGGTAGAACTGCTCCATTTATTCGCAAGACTAGCAAATCCTCCTATGGAATAGGGCAAGGTGCAGATCTGTCATTCATCGGGTCACTTTGAGTCATGGTCACCTTAAGAACACCTAACAACAAAGGCATGCGTCCACCTCTGATAATCTGAAACACCAATATGCATTAGCATCGCCTCAAGGCACTTTGTGACATTGATTTTTCTGCACAAACCACAGTGAAGACATGGACCACTTAAGGTGCTGGGGCCGAAATGTGAAGGTGATGACAGTGCTCCTGTCTCACAGGGCTCATCGCCTGATCATATCTGCTTCATTAGGTGAGAAAAGGCAAAGGACTAATTTATTGCTGTATCTGGGCTGTTAAAGAAGCATAAGTGATGCAGTGTGAGCAGAACGGTCTTTATTCCTCACCCAGTCTGCCCCGAGCAATCTGAACATCATACTTTCTTCCTCATCTGAAGAATGAAATATTGGGCATAGCTCATGGATTTCCGGTCATTTTCAGGTCCTAATACAAAACTCCTCTTGTCACTTTAACCCAATCAATGACCTCCATTGCATAATGGGTAAATTCAAGCCAATGTGATTGTCAAAACTGCAAAATTATTTCAAAATGAAAACTTCCCCTTCTCCAGCCCCATGCTATTACAAGCTAATGGCTCTTGTGGTTACAGAGATGCGTGGTCTTTCACACTGTCCTTCCTGTGAAGTGTTCCAGGTCTCCAGGGCTGGAGCAGGAGTGGTCACTGGCCAGGCACCAGGAGGAGCCTGACTTGACTGGCACCTACTTGGGTCGCTGGCTCCCGGGTGAGGTCTCTCCTAGCCTGTTCATCACTTCTGCCCATCCCTGCACAAAATGAAGTGTCATCTCTGATGGGACCTTATAATTCCTCCCACACCCTTGGGAATCTAGATGGACTCCTCCATTATTTCCCAAAGCTTCCTTACAGGTTCAAATGGCCCAGTTAGGCAGATTTTAGATGTAACAGGGTCACTTTGGATGTGGCCCACATCTGGCTCACAGCAGTCATTCACCTTAGGCTGCTGTATAATGAATTTGGTCACTTCCCAAATGCGGGTTCTGATTGAAGAGTTCGAGTTGCTTCTTTTTAAGATTTTTCCAGCCTTTGGCTAGATCCTAGACCACTGAATTCCTCAGACCTAGAGGCATGGACAAATAATGACTAACACTGAGAAGAAATGAGAACCCCCAAACACTTAACTGTGCTTATGTGAAACCTAAACATAGACCAAGAGGCCATTGTCCACACAGAGCAAGGGGACACTGCATGACTTAAAATCATGAAAGATATATACCAGGGTCATATCCTTTCTCCATACCTATTCAGTCTATTTGCTGAGCAAGTTCTTTGAACAATTGGTCTCTGTGAAGGAGAATGTGACATCAGGATCTGAGGAAGGCTCATCAACAACTTGCATAATGCAGATAATACAACTTTACTTGCTGAAACCAAGGAAGTCTTGAAACACTTACTCAGAAGAACAATGGCTTCAGCCTTAAAAATAGGTTAAATCTCAACATTAAGAAAATAAAACTCACCACCACTGGGATAAAAAGCAACATTATGATTGATAGATGGAGAAAGGATTGAAACTGTCACTCATTTGATCTTATTTAGATTCACAATCAAGACCCTTGGTACGAGGAGTTAAGAAATAAAAAGATACTTTACATTGGGCAAATATGCTGTCAGGGACCTCCCCAAAGTGCTAAAGAATCACAATGTCAGTTTAAAGACTAAGATGTGCCTGACCCAAGTCATGGTCCTTTCAATTCCATGCTCTGAATCTGAAAGTTCAGCAAATGAGTAAAGATAACAGAAAAATTGATGTCTTTGAATTTGTTAGAGAAGAACACCAAATGTTTAATAGACTGCCAAAAGAACAAACAAGTCTGTCTTGGAGGAATTACAACCAGAATGGTCCTTAGAGGCCCGGCTAATAAAGTTTTATCTCACATATTTGGGGCATATTGTGAGGAGGGACTGATCCTTGGAAAAGGGCATCATGCTTGGAAAGGTGGAGGGTTATTGAAAGAGAAATAGACACTCAAAAAATATGGATTGACATAGGATATATATCAATGCACGCAAGTATATCAGAGATTATGAGGATGCCACAGGATGAGGTATGGTTCAGACCCATTGTTTGTAGTGTCACTAAGTCACAGTTGATTCAATGACATTTAACAATGACAACAAGAGAGATGGAGGGGGCAGCAATGGCCTAGTCTGCAAGGAATTGTACTGTGCTTCTCTGGTGGTTCAGATATGCCAGTGGCTCTTTGGGAGAAAGATGAGCTTTCTCCTTCCATGTCATTTACAGCCTCAAAAACTCAGTGGAGGGTCAGTTATGAGTTAGTTCCAACTCAATGGCAATGAATTTGAGTTTTTGTTAAGGGACATAGATAGATTCTCTGGGTGGTTCAACAGCACACTCAGTGCTGACCAAAAAGTTGGCTGTTTTAATCTATCCAGAGGTGCCTGGAAAGAAAGCCTCGATGATGGCCTGCTGGCCTTCTGGAGGATCACATCCATGGAAAGGCCAGTGGAATATGTGGCATTACCATGAGTTGACACACAGGGCATTAACATGAGCTGACAAACATGATATTACCACAAGTTGGCACACAGGACATTACCATGAGCTGGAATCAGTTTGACGGTAACTCCTGTTGTGTTGTTTCCCACACGACGTACTGAGCTCTTCATGCTGCCTCTCTGGAGGGTTTTCTCTACATTTCAGATCGGGTGAAAATGCCATCCTCTCTTCCCTTATAGAGGTAGAGGAAACATAGCACATTTCTCTAAAAAAATTTTATCTCCAGCCCCCCCCGCCCCCCGCAACATCTCCATCCTTGACATCTATTCCCTTGGTACCACCTTCACCCATTTCCTAGCAAGTCTTCCAAGGTAACCTTGTATCTCATTTTGGAATGTGAGTAGTTGGCGACTCTGACCCCTAAGCTTGTAGTTTAAGCTGAGGTTACAATAATTAATGTTTTAAGATCTGGTTATACTACTTGGGAAAGGTTTAGTCAGGAACAGAGAAACCAGATGAAGTCTTACCCAGGGAATTAGAGGTTTACACTGGTGGTAGAAGGCAGGAAGAACACAGGAACTGAAAGCTACTTTGAGAGAATCTGCAAATGCAAGCAGAGAAGTCAGGAGCTCCAGCCAGAGTCTCAGCCGCCAGCAATGAGAAAGGAGGTGATTTTCAGGAGGACATGTTAACAAGGCCCTGGTGCCATGGTTGACTGTGGCCGCCATGGGACAAGAGTGGCATCTCCCATCCTTCCAACATCCTGACTTCACAGGAGAGCCTTTCACAGATGGCATCTGATCCAAGGCCCTACTGGAAGGGGGCCTGAGATGTCAGCGTAGCTTTTTCCTGGTGCAGGAATAACACCATATTGAAAATCACGTGTGGGGCATTAACTAACTGCTGATTTATATACTTAATCTTCAAAACATGAATGAGGTAGTTAAGTGGACAGAATTTTTTTAAAAAGGACTGTTAACTGATTGAAAGCATTGTTTTAAGAACCACCATCTTAAGTCTTTTTTAGATACTGGCACCCTTAGTACCAGCAGTCAGGAAATCAAAGGATGGTTTACGTTGGGAAAATCTGCTGTCAAGGACTTTTCCAAAGTGTTAAGGAGCTATGATTTCAGTTTGAGGACCAAGGTGAACCTAATTCATGGTCTTCTCAATTAGATTCTGTGAATCTGAAAGTTGGGCAATGGCTAAGGGTGACAGAAGAAGAATCAATGCCTTTGAGTTATGATGTTAGAGAATAGTACTGAATATATGTCCTGGAGAAGGTGCATCCAGAGTACTTTTTGGAAGCAAGGCTGGGGAAGCTTTGTCTTATGTATTTGGGTATGTCATTAGGAGATACCAATCCTTGGGAAAGGACATTATGCTTGGAAAGGTGCAGTGTCAGCATAAGAGAGGAAGACCCTCAACGGCATGGATTGGCACAGAAGTGGGTGATTTTAATCTGTGGCCCTCAGGCCTGCTTTCAATTGTTTTTTGTCAAACAGTCTTCTAGGTGGTATAGCACTGGTCTGTGCATTTCTGTACAGAGGTAACTTGTAATTGCTTTGATGCTAAACACTGTGACACTGATGTTCCAAATGTGATAATAGTTACCCATGGTGGACAGTGTTTAGTGGAGCTTCCCAATTAAAACAAGCTTGGAAGTAGGAATGGCATCCATATCCAAAATGTCTTGGCTCCAGAAACTTCTATGAACATGGAGAAATGATAAAAGTTATACAAGTGTTCAGGTCTTTTGTTCTCAGGGTCGCTATGAGTCATCTATGACTCGACCGCATTTAACAACAACAAGAATGGGATCAGGTCAAAGTTCAGATCCATTGTTCATAGGGCTACTATGAGTCATAATCGACTCTATAGCATCTAACAACAACATCTTAACTATTAATAATTAATCCCATATAGATATTACAGAATTAATTAGGATAGACAGGTACAATAATAAACCACACTCTTTAGAATGATTAAATGTAATACAAAAACTATTTTCATGAAGACTAAAAAAAAATAATCACCAGAAGTATAAAATAAAATTTAAAAAAATTAAAAAAAAAGACTAGCATCTAGAATAGCAGTTTTAATTGTTTAGAGGAGCAGTTGGCAAATTAGAGTGGAAAAATGCTCAGTAGTAAATCTCTTAGGCTCTGCAGGCCACGTAATCTCTGTTGGAACTCTTAGAGGCTGTCACTGTGGTACAGGAGGAGCCACAGGGAGGATGTAAACAGACAGACACAGCTGTGCGGTAAAACCTTCTTTTAAAATGAGGTAACAGCTGGATTTGACCTGTGGACTGTTGTAAGTAGTACTGTATAAGTTCACCGTTTCCTTTACTGATCTTGCTGATAATATTGAACCACAAACAAACTATTTCATCTTTACATAGGTGCAGTTTCATATAGTTGGAAAATCATTTTCTGCCACTTTTCACAGTAGCATATGCTTCAGGAGACAGTTTGTGCCTTTGTTTTGGGAAGATGCTCTGGGGCATAGTGACAGATTCAAGCAAGGATTCTGAATCTGTCCATCCATCCATCCATCCATCCATCCATCCATCCACTCACCCACCCACTCACCCATCCACCAAACTATGTATGCATGAGATTGTAGGCTATATTCAGCAGTTGTGCAGGGGGAAGACTAGGTAGTCTCCTACCTGTGAAATTCACAGCGTCGGCAGCCTGATGGAGGGTTGCTATGAGTGGGGACCAGTTCACTGATAGTGAGTTGAAGCTGGTTTTTCCATATAAGAGCTCAAAGCCAAGTAATGCATACAGATCATTAGGATAGCAATAATTAGGGTTACTTTCTCATTTATATTAAAAATCCTTATTTTTTTTATACCGGGTATTAACGCCATGTATTTGTGATGCATCATCACTCATCTTTATAGCAGTTGTGTTTAGAAATTTTCCCAGAAATCCAGGACCAGCAGAGCAGAGTTTCAGGGTTTCAGTGGATGTGACCAAGTATTTTTTTAGGATTTGGACTTTCTTTTTCTTTCTCTGTGTCCCAAGAGTTGCTTCAATTTCACGTTATATTTGAAACATTTTCTTTAATCCAGATTTTACTTCTTGTCAAATGATGAACTATTGGCGATTCTGGCCCAGACACGAAACCCGCAGGCCGTGCAGCCGCATTTGAGAAAGTGCTTCGACTCCATCGCAAGACTTGAATTTGCTGTTATGATTCCTACAGAAGGAAAAATCCCCGGTATTGAAGGGGAACAAGAAAAGGTTTTTACTAACGATATACTAGCAATGCTGTCCCCAGAGGGAGAAAGGGTAAGATCTATTGGTTTCAAATTCTTTGTAGATAGAGTTTCTTAGTCTTCTGGTGTTGGGTTAGGAGTTTATTCCTAAACCTCTGGTTTATTGTGTTGGGTGTTCTGTAAAATCAGAGGGTCAAAGATGACCAAGAGTACATGTTTGTCCTCAAAGAGTTCACAGTCTAGTGGAGAAATAATCACACATTTAGAAAGCACCCCAGTAAATGTGGTCCAGAGACAAGTGCTCTGTGCTTGGGGGCAGAGCAGAGAAAACTGGAACCATATCTTACCCAGATTGGAGGCACAATAGCAAACTGGATAGAGGCACGAGTTTTGCTTCACATTGTCTGGACCAAGTCTCAGGCTCCCCTTTCAACCGCATATAAGAAGTGGAGATTATATGATTAGGTGTCACTGTCATGACAAGAGTCCAGAATAAGAGATGCATAGTAAAGTGGACTAGGGCAAGGAGGTCTGTATAACATTTAAAGATTTTTTTTTCCTCCCAAAGGAAAAAATGAACTGGGGGGTGGGTGAGGTGGGGGTGGCTGGAGGGAGAAGGGACAGGGAAGAAAATTTGCAACAATGAATGAATGGAAATCCAAGTACTCTATAAACTTTCATTTAAAGCTCAATAAATTTAAAAAGAAATGGAGATTAAGAATACTACCTGCTAATGGAGCACAGAGATGAGCCTGTGGCTAAGATCTGTAGGTTACTAAGCACAGCACACCATGACACTGTGCAGGTTTTACCATCAGTGGTGGCAGCACGCAGGCTCAGCATCTGGACCACCAAATGATGTCGGCATCAGCAGATTGTGGGAAACCAAGTGACTTAACATTAAGAATCTCTCTCTCTCTCTCTCTCTCTCTCTCTCTCTCACACACACACACACACACACACACAAGTGAGGAGGACCCAGAACACATTTACCACATGGTGTGCAGAAATCCACAGTCCACACACTTTTTATTTGTCCTGAATGTATCTTCTGCCAGAAGAATTTTCTCATCATTGTTACAGAAGAGAAGGGAGAGGCAGGCACGAAGTGTTATAATAACTTCTAGGACTGGGAAATAAGCTTCAGCGTGTATAGCACAGGGCTCTGTTTCCCAGAAGACACTTTGTCATGGCCCTGGTTGTCCCCTAGGTGGGCTTGGGAAAGGGCCTCAAGGCTCGAGGCAACGTGGAGGAGTGGCTCGGCAAAGTGGAAGAAGCCATGTTCTCATCTTTGCGTCGCCTGTGCAAAGCTGCCATTGCCGACTATCAGGTGAAGCCCAGGACGCAATGGGTGACGTCAGGACACCCTTCTCAGGTGACACACTCACTTTGTTTCTGTTGAAGTCTCCTCAGCATGATATGCATCACACACTTAGGAGAGGTGTCTTCGTGCAGGTCATCCTTACAATCTCTCAGATCATGTGGTGTCGAGACTTGACGGAGTGTCTGGAGATGGAAGACGGTGGCTGCCAGGAAGCCCTGGTAGCTTTTGAAAGGATCAACTTCGAGGTAAGAGTTTTAACTCTTCGAGGTAAGAGTAACTACCAGTGAACATGCAGCATTACAGGTCTTTGAGAGCTTTGTTTGGTTTTAATTTTTTTTCTATTCACCTTGTGTTTCTTATGATCATTCCCATACATTGTGTTTTATAACATTAATCACCATTAATCTATGCCCACTATTCAGATCTCTAGTGGATCATTCCTATTTCCTTTACCCCCTCCTCCACTCACCAAACTCTATGGCCTCATGACTTTCCCCTCTTCCCATCCAACTCTTCTGCTCCCTCCCCTTCCCCTTTTGAATATCTATACACATCTTATTGGTTATCCTTCTGTTTTTACAAGTGGTCTTAAGCAGTATTTGTCCTTATGCACCTGAGTTAGTTCACTCAGCATAATGTTCTGCCATGTTACATAGTATTTTTCAGAACTATTGCTCCTGAATACTACATAGTATTCCATTGTATGAATGTACCACAATTTCTCAATCCATTCATTTGTTGATGGACATCTGGGCTGTTTCCATGCTTTTGCTATTGTGACTAACACTGCTGTGAACATCGACCTTAGAGATTTTTATTCATGTGGTAATACACATTCACCAGTGACCACTTCTATGTCATAAATCAGAGCTCCTGCTGTAAGCAGGTTATAGATTCTCTGTAGGGAGGCTTCTCTCCTCCCTGGGGCTCTTGAACATGGAATTCCATTGAGAAATTTCCTTAGAGAGTTTTTTTCTTTTTCCAAGAAAGATGTTTTCTTCCCCAGAGACCCTTTATTTCTCTATTTCTCTGGAAAAGACTTAACCATTTAGGTAAAAATAAAAAGCAAAATCTATCTAAATGCTTTAATCAAGCATTTTTGCTGTTATGTACCATAAAGTCAGAACCAACCTGGAGCTGACCCTCCACTGAGTTTTCAGAGGCAGCAAATTGTATGAAAAGGGATTACCCCTCTTTCTTCTCCAGAGCAGCTGGTGGATTTGAACTTAGTGTCTTTGGGTTGTCAGTACATCTTTACCACGAAGCCATCAGAGTTCATAAGCAAGTGTTAGTTTAATAAAGATATTTTGTTTTCTTACTTGACAATGTGAAAGCACCACCACAAAAATTAAGAGAAATCATCTTTAATCATACTAAAATTTTAGGGATAGGGAGGGGGTGGGTGGGGAGAAAAGTACAACAAAGAATGACTGGAAACCCTAAGTCTCTGTAAACTGTCATTAAAATTAATTTTAAAATTTTAGGGATAATAGCTTCTAGAAATATCACATAATGGTTAAGGGCACAGGCTTTTTGGGGTGTAGACACATAATTAGTCTCATTTCTGCCACTTCATAGCTGATTTCCATTTAGCAACATATCCTCTCTGACTCATACATAAATATGGGTAATAATAGTATTATCCCCCTAGAAGTGTTTTGGAAATGAAGGTGAATAAATTCTTGTATTTAGTTTCAGAATTCTCATCATTGCCTCTTCTCTTTCACTGCTGTCAGGTTGGCACCAACTCATAGCTGACCCTCCAGTGGATTTGCAAAACTGGCAATTGCATGGAGAACATTGCCTATCTTTCTCCTAAAATAGCTGGTGAATTTTAATTGCCACAGAAGCGTGGATTGGGGGTTAGCAGTACAGTCCCCTTGTTACAGAATTAATTCATTACCACCGAGTCAGAACAAATTCATTGCTGACCCACCAGCAGGTTTCTAGAGGCTGTAAATCATGCAGGAGGAGATTGCCATCTTTGTCTCAAGGAGCCACTGGTGGGTTCATCCTCACCAGAGAAGAATTAGAGTCCTTGAAAGGATATTTTTATCAGATACCTACTTCTAATTTAATAGGAGAAAGATATTTAAATATAAGCTGATGTTTGCAAATTCATATCAACAATTTTTGTTGTTTTTATCATTTGTAGAGATTGAATGCCCTCGCTTCATTAGTTCGAGGGAGTCTTCCAAAATTACATAGAAATATCATAACTGCCTTAATTACTATTGATGTTCATGCAAGAGACATTGTCACTGAACTTGTGGAAACCAAAGTAAGTGTTTCATCTAAATAAAATCTAAATAAAATGTATTTCCTTCTGAAATTAGTGCATCTAATAAGTGTATCATTTGTGATACTTAATATAGGTAGATGGACTTGAATCCTTTGACTGGCAGCGACAATTGCGCTATTACTGGGACATGGACCTGGATAATTGTGTGGCTCGAATGGCTCTCTCCCAGTACACTTATGGCTATGAATACCTAGGCGCATGCCCAAGACTCGTTATTACTCCTCTTACAGTAAGCTACTGTCTACTTACTTTAATATTGACTGAAAGTGCTTTTCTATAAAAATAAATCTTAAGAAATTTTGTCTATCTTACTTTAATCTTGACTGAAAGTGCTTTTCTATAAAAATAAATCTTAAGAAATTTTGTCTATCATAAAATCATGAACATATTTTCCATGAAACTAGAGTTTGCATTATTTGATCATGTACATGGGTCTTTTTCAGCTTCTTTAAAACTTGTCATAGAAAAGAATGCCCTCCCCGCCCCCCTTCCACCTTCTAGAGCAAGGGAAGAATTTGTGAAGTAGTCACTAAATTGGTTCCCTTCAATAATGGCAGTTTATTAATTTCTTCAGGATCGTTGCTACCTTTGTCTCATGGGAGCTTTGCAGCTTGACCTAGGCGGTGCCCCAGCAGGGCCTGCTGGCACTGGGAAAACCGAGACTACCAAAGACCTTGCAAAAGCTCTAGCCATCCAGTGTGTGGTCTTTAACTGTTCGGATGGTTTGGACTATAAGGTACACTCCCAGCAACTAATATTATGTGTTTTCTTTATGTACTTTTCTCTACTTGAAATAGTACATATAAAAAGAAGAGAATAGGGTAATGCTGTAGAATTTTAAAAAAAGGTTAAAGACCTTAAGTTATAGTAAATAAACAAATAGAAAATTGTGTATATAAAACAGCATATCCCTAAAGTACGTTTCTTGGGACACTGCTATAATATGCTCAGAGAAAAGAACATAAATCATACTATGTCTCATCATCAAGACAAAAAGTAATACTTGAAGCTGCTAAGATCTTAAATTTGTGTATTCCAAGTGTTGTAAGATTTTTTTGAGGCTTTGTCAAGTACTTACAAAAATCAATAGAAGTTACAAAAAAAAAAATCAGTTTGCCATGGTCTTAAAAAAGAAAATTAGGTTCAAATTATTTCAAGAACATTTATTTTTGAGGACAAGCACTGACTTGCAGCACAGCCAGCGTTCACATGTAATGCCTGCTTGTTTGCAGGTCGCATTACTTTTCTTATTAATGTTTCAGGTTAAAACTTAATTTTGAAGAAACTGAAATAGACAATACGATGTTGAACAGTCTGCTTGTGATTTCAGATGATGGGGCGTTTCTTCAGTGGTTTGGCCCAGTCGGGTACCTGGTGCTGCTTTGATGAGTTTAATCGAATTGACATAGAAGTGTTATCAGTCATCGCACAGCAGCTCATTACCATTAGGAATGCCAAGGCCGCAAAGGTAGGGCAGACTGTTCTGGGAGTTGCTTTTTAGAAGTTTTGTATTACTTGCTGGTCTACTGACTGGAAGGCGGTCAGTGGTTTGAATCCACCAGCTGCTCTCTGGGAGAAGGAGGAATCGGTCTACTCCCATTAAGATTGAAACAGATGAGGGAGAGAACAGTTTAAAAGTGATATATGATAGCATATTATGATTATCACAGGAATCCAGAATTAAGGTTGTATAGTGGGTATAGTGGAGTGCATTTGGGGTGGGGCGGGGCCGGGGCAGGGTCAGGAGGATTGTATAACCAGCAAAGAAGTTTATCTTTTGCTTTTCAAAGAGAGGAGTGAACTGGGGCCGGGGTAAGGAAAAAAGTGCAACAATGTATGAATGAAAATCCAAAATCTCTGTAAATGTTCATTAAATTTAATAAAATAAAATTTAAAAAATATTTAGAGCTTCAGTAATCCAACTGAGTTTCAAACCATGAGTTGACGTTGACTCAGTGACAGTGGCTTGGTTTGGTTTACTTCCCTGGAGTACATGGGTAGCTCTGGATTAGAATCCTCGGCTTTGGTGAGAAAAACTTGGGTTTAATCCCTTGTCAGTGCACCTCCTGAATAGCCACCACCTGTGTGTCAGTGGAGACTTTTATGTTGCAGGAGTGGCATCCACTTCCTAAATAACAAACCTCCAGAAACTATGAATTTGATAAGTGTCTATAGTTGTAGAGGGACTTGAGACTTTTTGTTCATAGGGTTGCTATGAATTGTGCTCAATTCAAAGGTAATCAACAGCAGATACTTGCTAGGCTACAGATTTAAGGAAGAGATCCGAGAACAAGAAAGCAAGCAAGCTTAAAAGCATCTTTATTAGGGGAGCTCCTGGGCAAGGTTCCTCATTCTGAAGATGCAGGAGGAAGTCACCCTTTGAGTGTATTGGGGAGGGTTTTTAAAACAAGGTCTTCAGGAAAGGAAGGGAAGGACATTCTACTGTGATTTATGGTTCATCTGTTAGTTTGGCCAGGTGGGTGAGGCCGTTCACTCTTCTTATTGACCTGAATATTCTTTGACTTCTTCATTCTCCCTCTTGGCCCCCTGTCTGGACCTAACAGTGTTGAACAGGTTTCAATGTTGAGCAGAGCTTCCTGGCTAAGAAGGACTAGATAAGAAATTTGAGGATCTACTTCCAAATATCAGCTGCTGACAAGCCTACTAATCATAACATTCAGATCCACAACTTCAGTCACACAGTCAGAGGCCAACTTGGTGACCAAGAACAACAATTTACTTACAGCATGTTGCATCTTAGGAAGGACAATGCTGCCTTTGGCCTTCTGTGAGTGAGCGGAACAAGCAACAAGACATAATTGGGCTGATTAACTCCTCATCCAAGCAGAGAAATGGCTGCCTGCCAGAAACTGCACTGGGACATGGTGATACAAAAGCCTGTGAGATGCAGTCCCTGCCCTCAGGGAACTTTGCACGTACACACACACACACACACACGTGCGCGCGCATACACGGTCCCCCTGTCCTCCGTCTTCTGTTTTTCCTCATCACCTCTCTTAGTCTTGCCTTCGGCATTGACTTCTTTCACTAGATTTCTCTAATGATGCTGCTCCTGGGCTCCATTGCCTCCATCATGGCTCTCAGCTCGGCCTGTCGTGGGTAGGTCTGTCAAGTCAATAGGAACTCTCAAGCATCGAACGTGACAGAGTAGAATTGCCCCACAGGCATTCCTAGGCAGCCAAGGGCAGGAATCGCTGAGCTCATGAGAGAACAGGAGCAGGCAGAACAGCTAAGGGAGACACAGTCCCTGTCCTGTGCTTGACTGCACATTTACATGAGCCTTGTATATGTCGCCATCTACATGGAAGGATTTACCAATGCCTGGACAAGTGTTAAGGCACTCTGATGGTGTAGTGCCTAATGTGTTTGTGCTGCTAACTGAAAGGTCACTGGTTCAAATCCACCATTTGACCCAGGGTTGAAAGATGGACAGTCTCCTGCAAAAGCTTGCAGCTTCAGAAACTGAAGGAAGGTCCCTATGAGTGAGAGGTGACTTGACAGCAGTAAATTTGGCTTTTGGTTTGTGAGAACTACTACTTTACACTTCCTCTTTCCTCTAAACAGCTCTCTAGATTCATGTTTGAAGGACGTGAGATAAAGCTGGTGATGACTTGTGCAGCCTTCATCACAATGAATCCCGGCTATGCAGGCAGAACTGAATTGCCCGATAACCTGAAAGCCCTGTTCAGACCATTTGCAATGATGGTTCCGAATTACGCCTTGATTGCAGAGGTGAGCATCAAATTACACAGCACTAAAAACTTAAGCCTGCTTATTGTGGATTTTATCGAGGTAGAAACTTTTCTTTGCACCCCAGTTTAGGCTTTAAACTATTGGTTAGGCCTAAATATGATTGTTACCATGAAGAACATTTTGATCCATGTTTGGGTTTTGTTCTTATGGGTGCTTTTGTGATTTTCTTTGCTGCCGTCTCCTTAATCCACCTCTTGTCTGTTAGTTTGCCATGCTGTGGTGGATTGTATGTGGCTGCAATGCTGGATCTACATCATCAATATTTCAAATGGCATCAGGGTCACCGAAGGTGGACAGGTTTCAGCTTGAATCCACAGTCAGCATCCATGGAAGCAATAGTCAAAAAGTCAAAAGATGTATCCCACTGGGCAAGTCTATTGTGAGCTCTGTGTTTAGAAAACAAAGATGTCACTTTGAAGGCCAAGGTACACCTGATTGAAGCTGTGCTCGCTAGACAGTGAAGAAGGAAGACTGAAAAAAAAAGTGATGTCTTTGATTTTATAATGCTGGTGAAGATATACCATGGACTGCCATATAAACAAGTCATTATTGGAAGTAGTCCAGCTAGAACGTTCCTTAAAATCAAGTATGGCAAGACATTATCTCACAAACGTTGAGCATGTTATCAGGGGAGACCAGTCTTTGGAGAAGGACATCATGCTTAATTAAGTGGAGGGTCAGCAAAAGAAAGGAAGGCCCTCAGTAAGATGGACAGACATATCACTCAAATGCTGGTCTCAAGCATTGTGAGGATGGCCCAGGACAGGGCAGTGCTTTGTGTTGTTCATGGGGTTACTATCAGTCAGAACCGAGTGGACAGCAGACCTCTACACGGGAATGAATAATTTTAACCAACCATTTTGTTGAGATTTATTCATGTCTAAGAATTAAAATGTCTGAGATAGGTCTAAAAATAGTGTGTTTTATTACTGCTCTTTACCCGTAATGACAGATTAAAACCAAGGGATATTGAGTAAAAGTATTATTAATCACTGTGATGTTCTTGGTATTGTTATTAAGTATCCTCAAGATGAGTGCAACTCATAACAGCCCTCTGAACAACAGATCAGAACCCTGTCCTATCCTGTGCCATCCCTCACATCTCTGACACACTCAAGCCCCTTGCACCTGTCACTGTATCAGTCCACCTGATTGAGGGTCTTCCTCTTTTACTCCCTCTCTCCACTTTCCCAAAATGATATCCCTCTCTAAGGAGCAGCCCTACCCCAGCAACATAGTCAAAGTATGTGAGATGAAGCTCTATCATCTTTGTCTCCAAAGAGCACTCTTTCTGCACCTTCTCCTAGATACATCTGTTTGTTCTTTTGGCAGTCCATGGTATGTTCAATACTCTTTTCCAGCATCACAGTTCCAAGGCATCAATTCTTCTTTTGTCATCCTTATTTATTGTCCACCTCTCAGATGCATAACAAGTGATTAAAAAGATGATGGCCTGAATCAGACACATCTTAATCCTCAAACTGACATCATTGCTCTTCAATAATTTAGAGAGGTCCTTGACTACAGACTTTCCCAGTGCAATACATCTCCTGATCTCCTGACTGTAGTTACCAACTCTTTTGATTGTCAATCCAAGTAAGAGGAAGTCATCGACAATTTCATCCTTTTCTTCATTTATCATATGGTTGCCTATCATTCCAGTGGTGAAGATTTTTGTTTTCTTGGTGTTGAAATGCAATCCATATTGAAGGCTGAAGTTTAACCTACTATAGCAAGTGACCATGTCCTCCTCACTTCCAGCAAGAACAATTGTATCTGTCCTCTGCATAACAAACATTATTGATGAGTATGTCTCTAATTTTGATGCCACATTCTTCTTCATGGAGTCCAACTTCTCAAATAATTTGCTCAGTATACAATCACTGTGATGTAGGAAACTGGTTTGTAAATTTGTAAAAAAAATGTTATTCCTACTGTATGCCATTACGTCAATCTTAATTCATAGTGATCCTGAAGGACAGAGTTTAGTGACCCTACAGAGTAGAAAAGGTGAGCAAAGGCTGTAGTCTTTATAGAATTAGACTCTCTCACATCTTTGTCGTGTGGAGCGGCTCATGGATTCAAACCTGTCACCCTAAGCTGAGCATTTAGCCAATGCACCACCAGGACTCCTTAGTTAGTTTGTTTATTGTTGTGTACCATCAAGTCAGATCCAAATGACACAGGAGGAGAATGCCCCTCCTTCTCCAGCGGAGCATCTGGTGGATTTGAACCACGTGCCTTTGGGATTGCAGGATTGCAGTGCAACTTCTTGCCACCAGGCTCCCTTACTTAGTTTTAAAAAATGAGTATTGAATATACCATGGACTGCTAAGAGAACGAACAGGTTTCCTGGAGAGGGTGAAGCCAGTTTGCTCCTTGGAGGCAAGGATTCTGAAACTTCATCTGACATACTTTGGGCATGTTGCAAGGAGGGACCAGTCCTTGGAGAGGGACATCATGCTTGGGAGGGAAGAGGGACAGCGCAGGAGAGGAAGATCCTCAATGAGATGGATTGATTCAGTGACTGGGTTAATAGGGGTGGGTGCGTCAGAGATGATAAGATTGACACAGGATAAAGCAGGGTTTAGGGCTGTTGTACATAGGGTCGCCATGAGTCACAGGCAACTCGAATAACAGCAACAACAGTCATCCATTCATTTTTGTTTGTATTTTCTCTTTCTGCATCTGTCTGAGTCTTTTTGTATTAAATTGGTTCTTCCCTAATACTATCTATGAGCCAATATATTTAAATTTTGCGTATAGTTTTCCTATCATTTTTTATTGAGGTGTAATTTATGTATAGTTCATAAAGATACAGTTCAACTAATTCTCACATATGTCACCACCAAGATCCAAATGCAGGACATTGTCAGCACTCCAGAAACACTCCTTGAGTTCAAGGCCCCGTTCACAACAGGGGACACAACCATTGTCAGAGGGAATTTCTCAGAAAGCACAAACAAAAGGGCACTTCATGTGGTTGTTAAAAAAACAGCCCGAGTTGACTTTATGCTTATAGGCAGACGTTGTTGTTACGTGCCATCAAGTCTCTTGCAACTCATAGCGACCCTACATACAAGAGCCCTAAACCCTGCTCTATCCTGTGCCAACCTCACTGTTTCCAACACACCTACCTACTCTCACTACCCCAGTCACTGAATCGATCCATATCAACAAGGGTCTTCCTCTTCTGCACTGTCCCTCCACTCTCCCAAACATGATGTCCCTCTCCAAGGACTGATTCCACCTTGCAACATGCCCCAAATAGGTCAGACGAAGCTTCATATGTCAGATGAACCTTCAGAATTCTTGACTCCAAGGAGCAGCCCAGCTTCACCCTCTCCAAGACAAACCTGTTTGTTCTCCTAGCAGTCAATGGTATATTGAACACTCTTCTCCAGAACCACAGCTCAAAGGAATCAATTTTCTTTCTGTCATCCCTAGTCACTGTCCTGGTCTCTGATGCATAGCAATTGCAAATACTATAGCCCGGATCAAGTGCACCTTAATCTCCAGCCTGATATCATTGCTCTTCAGCACTCTGGAGGAGTCCCTGACAGCTGACTTTCCCAATGTATGCAAATATATCTAAAAATAATATTCTTTGATGACAATGAATTTTAAATATTATTCCATAGGAAATAAAACAATTGCTTAAGAATAGAGTGTTGTTGTCATTTTTGTATGCTGTTGAGTAAAAAACTGACTCATAGCTTACTCCCTCAGCGGGTTTTCAGAGGCAGCAAATGGGAGGAGATTGTCCATCATTCTTTCATGAAGCAGATCATGGATTTGAATTCATGCCTTTGAGATTGCAATGTAGCTTCTTAACCACTAGGCAACTAGAGCTCCCTGATGAAGAACTGAATAGGCTGTTTCAAATGCTATTATTGGAAAAATTAAGACTTTTATTAACTTAATACTTGAAGGTTTTCATGGCCCCTCAAAATCCCATTTGGACCCAGTGGGGTGATGGACAAGTAAACAAGATGGTACCATCACTCTTGACTCTCCCTGTGGGCAGGGAGAAATAAATTATTTACCAGCTTATTGTCCCCAAACTGATAGAAATAAAAGCTAGTTTAGAGCCCAGTTCATCATTTTACACCATTTTACACTTTTTCTGTGTTGTATCCTATTGCTGTATGACTCAGGAATTAATTGGAGAACTTAAAAATCATCTGAAACTATTCCTATTGTTGTTACAAGTTGCATAAATTGGGATCTGTCATCAATAAATGTTTTTATCCCTTATTGTATACGCAGTGCTGTACTAATCATAGTAATAGGGCAGTAAACAAAACAGGAGCTCTGTGGCCTGGCGGCCAACTCAAAGGCACACAGTGTGAATCCACCAGCTGCTCCATAGAAGATGGACATTCTCCTCCTATGTGATTAAACTGCCTCTGAAAACCTACTGGAGGGCCAACCATGAGTCAGTTCCAACTAGATGGCACACAACAACAAAAACAAACAAACAGACACCAGTAAGAAATCTCTGAATCATTTGAGATACTGAATTATAGTCCAGCGGCAGTATTTCTGGTAATGACGAATGGAGGCAACTTTATGCCCACCTTCACTGTCAAAGGCACTAGGTGTCTTCCAATTTATTTAACCAAGAATATAGAAATTTATCAGAAACAGAATAGCCTCATAGGACAGATGAAAATAAAAAACAAACAAAAATCTAAACCCATTGCTGAAGAGTCAGTTCCCACTTATGGTAATAAGATGGGGGGGGGGGGTGGATTGCTGCCTTTCTTCCATGAAACAACTGGGTTCAAACCACCAGCTTTTAGGTTAGTTGTTGAACACAGTTTGTCCACCTGGAGACCTTCTAGAGCACTGTTGTTATTAGGATAGGTGCTGCCAAGTTAAGTCAATCCACTTGATAGAGGATCTTCCTCTCTTTCACTGTCCCTCCACCTTTCCAAGCATGGTGTCCCTCTCCAAGGAATAACCCCTCCTAGCAACATGCCCAGAATATGTGAGATGAAGCTTCATCATCTTTGTCTACAAGGAGCTCTCTAGCTGCACCTTCTCCAAGACATATCTCTTAGGTTTGGTTTTTTTTTTTTGGCAGCCCCTGGATAAAAGAGAGGAAGACCCTCAACCAAGTGAATTGACACAGTGACTATGGCAATGGGCTTGAGTGTGTCAGAGACTGTAAAGATGGCGCGGGACAGGACAGGGTTCAGATCTGTTGTTCACAGCCCACTATGAGTCATACCAGCATGGTTTTACACTCCCGTGGTTCTAGAGCGTGAGAGACACTAAAATCCTTGTAACATTTCCCTTAGCTCCAGACAACTGAGAGGAGCACATTGCTATCATTGATACTGCTCACAGTGGGGTGTTCCTGTCAGATCAGAGAAGCTCAGTCCTTCCCACAGCATGGGCCTTTTGCACTCAGGTCTCATAATGCCATTTTGCTTCCATAATAGGAACATTTTCAAATATTGGGCTCTGCTGCTTCTTAAGCCAAATGTGACCAATACCACATCTTCATCAAGAGATACAAAGCAGAATCAGCGTCCTTGGGTCCCCATCAATATTTCATCTTCCACCCTGTAGCAGCAAAGAAAATCACCTGCCTTCGGTCTTAATATTTGTAATCTTTTGCTAAATGATATAACAACTTAGAAAGGTGCAATGTTAAAGCAAATTTTAAATATGTTAATATTATGCTAATTTTATAGATTGACTATCATAGTCTATCAAATATCAATGCATTATACTTTGCTGTTCTAGGTAATTTTATATTCTGAGGGATTTGAGTCCAGTAAAATATTGGCAAGAAAAATGACGCAGATGTATAAACTGTGCAGCGAGCAGCTCTCTCAGCAGGACCACTACGACTTTGGCATGAGAGCCGTGAAGTCTGTACTGGTTATGGCTGGGTAAGAAACCAAGTGGGAAAAACAAATACCGAGTCATGTAATCGATGCATTAAATGAGAACTTCACAGAGGCTGTCAGAACAATGCCTGGTGTGTGGTAAGTGATCAATCAATGTTAACTTCTGCTCCTGTTCTCATTCTCAACTTCACACCCCACACCACTGTGTGTGGAGGGATCTCTCATCCCATGGTGAGACCCAAAATAGATATCCTCAGATTAAACCCGGGTCCTGAGAAGACTTTAACTACGTCTCCTTCCCCCAAGAACTCATCAAGTTCAAGTGCATGAAAGCCTTTTACGCCATAGGAGAGGATAGCTATAGTTAGAAGGTACCCGGGTTGTTATTCATATTAAAGAAAGTAAGTCACACATGTTACCTGCACAATGAAGCCTTGTCTGTTGAAAGAAATGCCAGTTCTTCATTTCATCTCCACTCAGGTTCAAGTCATGGACCTTGCCTCTGTTTGACAGAATTATCGAAGGCCAACCTAAGTTTCTAGCACAGCAAGAGGTTTCCCTATTTCACACTCTAACTTTTCACTTTATAATTTCTGTCCCTGGAGCTTCAGTTTGTTCAGACTTCCTGAGGCCATCTAGTTTTCTCTCTAGACCTCCTGCTCTGCCTCCCTGGCTCAGTTTTTGTGTGGTCAGGATCCCTCTCTATCACTGGACTCTGCACAGATCTTCCCTGTCTCTGCCTTCTGCTCTTGTTTTTAACCTCCTGAAGAAGGATTTCTCCTTTTTTACAGACTTGCCATTTATGGTTTACTAAAGGATTCCAATATATTTGTATGTGTTTTTTTTTCTTTCTTAAATTTTTTTTTATATTAGTTTATTTACAAAATTTAAATACATTGTTTTTCACACCAGATCCTCCCTATTTCCCTCACCACCCATCAAATTGTACAACCCCCATGATTAATCCCCTACACACACACACCTCCTCACCCATCCAATACATTTTTGCTCAAAGAACACAACTACATACCAGTGAGAGACAAATGAGCAGCCATGTTGGATGCTCTATGACAGGGGCAGAGACAAATTGTGGCCAAGGTTCTCTGAGAATAGAAGTAGAGGAATTTTCTAGAAGAGGAAGTAAATGGACTGGATTTTTAAGGAAAAACAAAAGATCAGAGAATAAACTATCAAAAAGAGCACAGCAGAGAGGAAAGAAAGTCACAAGAATATGAAGCATCAAGATGGATGTGGAGAAGTGCAAATGCAGGTTGGATAAAGTCTGAGGTAGGCAGGGAGTGGTCAGAAGAGAGCCTTGTTAATCCCTTCAAGGAAGGTAGGAATCTGCATGGGTGGAGGGTGGCCCCACAACTTTCTGTAAACCGAGTCCATGGCCTCCAGGTTTGGGAAACCATGTTTAACCCTATTTGTGAGCCTATCATCTGAAGCATTCCTTTGCATTTAGGTCTTTAAAGAGAGAGAACCCAAACCTAAGTGAAGAGGTCGTGTTGATAAGAGCTTTGCGAGATTCCAACTTGCCAAAATTCCTCACAGATGACGCGCTTCTCTTCAGGTGATTTTCTTGACCCTATTGAATAAAATAGCTTTTGTGTAGAAGTAAAGGAGATTCTGATGTTCAGTGATCTCTGCTCCTAATAACTTTATCATCTTTTCATTTTGTTGTTGTTGTAGTTAGGTGTCAGTGAGTGACTCTGACTTGTAGTTTAAAACAAAGTCTAAAATTTTAACATTAGTTCATTTGTATTTTGACAAGGAAAGGCAATACACAATATTGGTGATTTGAATAATCGTGATTCATTAATTACATTAATCAATGGAAGTGTTGTTAAATGTGTATGAATGACTGTAAGAAAAATCAATATGATTTGTCTACTTTCACTGAAAAAAGTTTGTGTGCTGCTATGCAAATTAGTGTCTGGTTTACTGTTCCTGATCTAAAAGAAACTGCTTGAGTTATTTAATTTGAGGATGTGATTTAATTTGACACCTGTATAAGCTTTGGGCTATTGCTTAGAACAAACTAAATATATTTGACCTGTGTACCAAGAGGAGGTCTGTGTGATGTGTTGTCCAGCAAAGATGATCATCAGCAAAGTATCTAGGTGCAAGATGGCTTCGGGTAGTCTGTTGTTGTTGTTGTTATGTGCCGTCAAGTCAACTACAACCCATAGTGACCTTGCCTTATCCTGGGCCAACTTCACTCTGTCATTCCATCTCATCCAGGGTCTTCCTCTTCTATCCTTCCAAGCATGGTGTCCTTCTCCAAGGAATGGTCCCTCCTGGTGACATGCCCAGACTGTGAGATAGAGCTTCAGAATCCTTGCTTCCAAGAAGCAAACTGGTTTTACTCTCTCTAGGAGAGACCTACTTGTTCTCTTTACAGTCCATAGTATGTTCTATATTCTTCTCCAGCACCACAACTCAAAAACATTGATTCTTCTTTTGTCATCTTTATTCATTGTCCAGCTCTAAGAAGCATAGCAAGCAAGGAAGAAGACTATGGCCTGTATCAGGTGCACCTTAGTATCTAGACTGACATCATTGCTCTTTAGCACAGAAGAGATTGTTAACAGCAGATTTTCCCAATGCAACTCATCTTTTGATTTGCTTACTACTGGTGTCAAGGGTGTTGATTGGGATCCAAGCAAGATAAAATCATTAACAACCTCAATCTTTTCTTCATCTATTATGATACTGCCTGTTGTGAGGGTTATCTTTGGTTTTTTTATGTTGAGATGCAATCCATATTGAAAGCAACAATCTTTTACCTTCTGCAGCAAATACTTAAAGTCGCCTGTTACTGTTGTTTTTGTTGTTGTTGAGTACTGTAGAGTCGGAACCAACCCAGAACTGACCCTTCAGCAGATTTTCAGAGGCAGTTAATCGCACAAGAGATTGCCTATCCTTCTCCAGCAGAGCAGCTGGTGGCCTTGAACTGTGTGCCTTCAGGATTGCAGTGCAGATTCTTGCCACTATGCCACCAGAGCTCCTGCCAAGGTAAAGCATGTGGTTTAAATCCACCAGTTGCTCTGTGGGAGATAGATAGATAATCTCCTCCCCTGTAGTTTACTGCCTCTGAAAACTCCTAGAAGGTCAGTTATGAGTCGGTTTGAACTTGACCACACACACACAATAACAATGCTTCTTTTCTGAGACGGGAGAGTTTGTCCAAGCCACTACAATAAAGCCAATAATCCTTCCATGCTGTAAGCAGCAGGGACATCTGAAGTCCCCTTTGCCCTTTGGAATGCAAGGCACTCTGTGTCCCAATGATAGCACTCAGCAGGTTTTCCTATTGACATGCCTCCTCTTGCCTGACCTCCATACTTTCCTTCCATCTTTCAGCTTAGTCTTATGAGACAGTTCCTATGAGAGAAATGTCTTTCTTTTGGGACTATAAATTTTCACTTGTATTTTATTTATCCTTTTTGATGGCTCATTTTGAATATACTCTACTTGCCATTTGGCTTAGTGGTAAGACATTGCATTGCTGACACAAAGGTCCACTGTTCAAATCTGCCAGCTGCTCCATGGAAGAAAGATAGGTAGTCTCCCCGCCTTATGATTTACTGCCTCTGAAAACCTGCTGGAGGGTCAGCTATGGGTCATTCCAGCTTGACAGTACTCAACAAAAACAATTGTAACTTATTTTTAAATACAGTAACTATAGAAAGAGGTGATAGTTTATCTGGGACAAGGATCTGTCATCTCCTTTGATTAGTGATGCTTTCCGTTACCACAGATGGGGTTTACACACACACATGTGAGCACAAATACACATACATGCAGATCTCCCATTAGTGATAATTCCTCTCTCTTGTCAAGCAACACAAGGTCTCAGCTAGTGCCATCATCTCCTCTCATCATCTTTCCCATTGCCATAAATCAGAACCGAACCCTTCAGGTAAGTGCAGAGGCTGTAAACTGGCTGGGATGAGCTTGTCTATCTTTAATTCTCAGAGCAGCTAGTGGATTTGAACAGTGTACCTTTATATCTTTGGATTAGCAACAAAACTCCCTACAGTCTCCCAGAGCTTCCTCACTCGTGCCAATGTCTTGTGTTATAGATCCATATTGCCCTTTTCTTTATTATACCAAGGGATCTTTCTTCCATCTGCTTTGCATCTTTGAGAAGTTTCTTGAAATCTCTCACCTACTTTATTAACCTCTTCTATTATTTGTTTTGTTTGGAATTATGTTATTAACTTTAATTTCTCTGTTTTCATATAAGAACGTTAAATACAATAGCAGGTTTGCCCATTGTAATCCTGATCATCGCTTTCCCAGACATACTGTTTCCACAACCCAAATGCCTTATCAATATTGGTTAAACCTTTATTCAGCGATGATTAATCAACCAAATTTTAAAGCAAACTATATTTATACATAATATTAAAGATTGAGCATGATCCCTCATACTCATCTGTAATTTTATTCATTTGCTCGACAAAACTATTAGGACTTAAAATACTCATACACCCCTACTATACAACTATCAATAAATTTAGGCATAACAATCCCACTGTGAGCTGGAGCTGTCATTATAGGCTTCAGGAAGTCTATAATGACATTATAGACTTCCCATTATAGACTTCCCAAGCCTCTTTAGCTCATTTCCTTTCTCAAGGTACTTCCATTCCTTTAATCCCTATTATTCCTGTTCTTCTCAGAGTCAGCCATAGCTTGTTATGATCCACACAGTCAAAAGCCTTTACATAGTCAATGTGGCACAGATGGACATTCCTCTGGCACTCTCTGCTTTCTGCCAAGATCCATCTAACATTAGCTATCCCTAGTACAATGATTTCTTCTAAATCCATCCTGTGCATCTGGCAGTTTTCTGTTGACATTGCTCCAATCGTTTTTTTGGATAAATTTCAGCAGAATCTTGCTTGCATGTAATATTAGTCTGATAATTGTTTGATAATTTCCATACTCTGTTGGGTCACCTTTCTTTGGAATGGCAATAAATATCGATCTTTTCCAGTCAGTTGGCCAGCTGGCTGTCTTCCAGATTTCTTGGCACAACTTAATGAGCACATCCAGGGCATCATCTGTTTGTTGAAATATGTCAGTTGGTATGCCGTCAACTCCTGGAGCCCTGTTTTTTGTCAATTCCTTCAGAGCTACTTGAACTTCTTCCTTCATCACCACAGGCTCTTGCTCATATGTTATTTCATGAAATCCTTCTGTGTCAGCCAATTCCATCTTATACACTGACTCTGTGCAATCCTTCCATCTTCTTTTAATGCTTCTTGGATCATTTAACATTCTACCCGAAGTATCTTTAAGTATTGCCACCCATTGCTTGAATTTGTTTTTTAATTCCTTCAGCTTAAGAAACATTGAGTGAGTTCAGGATTTTCTGAACCCAGCTCTCTGCACATTTCATTATAGTATCTTTCTTTGTCGTCCCATGCTGCCTTTTGAATTTCCTATTCAGCTCTTTGATTTCTTGATTTCTTCTTTTAGCGTTGGCTTCTATTAGGGGTTTATTATACCCTTCTACAAGCATCTGAGTACTATGAATCATCCTATACTATTTCAGACGGAGTCTACAGTTCAACATTCTTCATAGCCACAGGATTCCACCGTCTGCATGTAATGATTGGCTCAACCTTTCCAACTGTATGCTTTATCCGTCAACTCAAATTCCACTTTACGTCAAATCACCACTTTGGTTTTGAGCAGCAGCTTGATACTGACATTTTGTTGATGGGCTTCCTAATATACTGCTCTCACATTATATCTTCCCTGTTATGTCTAGAGAAGCAAGAGTGGCATCCACTTCCTAAACAACATGCCTCTGGAAACTCAATGAACTTTGATGAATGTCAAATGAAACACAGATAGATATTCTTATGGCTTCAGGCCTTTTGTTCATAGGGTCACTATGAGTTGTTCTCAACTCAAAGGCAATTAACAACAACATTATGTCTAGAAGGCATAATATTATATTATTTATCCTCAGAACCACTTAAAAAATTTTAAAATTTTGCTCTCCTAACCATAATACCTATTATTCTCTTAGTATTTGAGGCTTATGAAACCTCAATTGGCCTATCCCTCCTAGTTGTAGTATGAAATGCTTATGGCCTAGATTACCTCGAAAACTTGAATTTACTACAATGTTAAAAAATCATTTCCCACACTACTATACTACTCCCTCTTTCATGACTATAAAAATATCTTTAATTTGAATTACTACACATAGCTTTATTATTAGCCTCATTACCTTATTATCTTTTCTCACTTTATCATCAGACTCTTTCATCAGTCACTCCACTTTATTCTACTCAGATGCCTTATCAAGAGACCTCTTTTTAATTCTAACTACCTGAACAGAGCCAAAGAAGAAGAAATAGATGATTTCTATCAACTCTTATAGGCAGAGATAGATTGAACATGCAATCAAGATGCATTGATAATAATGGGCAACTGGAACGCAAAAGTTGGGAACAGGGAAGAAGAATCAGTAGTTGGAAAACATGGACTTGGTGACAGAAATGAAGCTGGGGATAGAATGATTGAATTTTGCACAATCAATGACCT